TTTTTTTGTGGGACCCTCGCCTGGCGGCTGGGGAACGAACCGGTGCTACAGAGGCTGCGGGCAGCCTCGCAGCCCAGTGCTCAACCCCTGCACCACCAGGGAAGGCCCTAATTCTGTTACCTTTTTCACATCTTAGACTATGAGTACCTTGACTGCGCAGTCTGTAATCTTGGTGTTTTTACTTTTTTATTCTTTCCATGGTACGTACTGTGTCTCTTATGGTCCTTACACCACTTAGTCTTGAGTTTACTAGGTCAATGATGGGCACACTCATTAGATCAGTAGGTGATACAGGCAGCTCCCCTGGGATGCATCAGATATGAAGATGTTTAAAAAGTTATTCAAGACTATTTTTGTTACAAGACTGGCAGAGTACCAGTGAAGTTTCCCCTGCAAGTTAAAGCATTTTGGTAATGAGAAGGAACAACATCTTAATTAGTTAAATATTAGGATGGTTTTGTTTATTCCTCCCTTTAGTGCTAATTGTAACTTGGAACAGTTGTTTAAATACCGCTCTTTAGTACTGCAATCTGCCCCATTTCCATCCCCTGCTCCCAACCCCCCATACCTGCTCTACTTTTCATATTCTCTCTAGTACTGATCATCTCTTACATTGCTGCTGCAATACATTTCTTTACTATAGCTACAGTCTACTATCTGCCCCTACTCCTATCACCACAGGACGGGATCTTTGTTTTGTTCATTGATTTATTTTAAGTACCTACGAAAGTGACTGACACAGAATAGATGCCCAATTAAATATCTATTGCATGAATAGATCTGTCTAAAATAGAAATAATTCCTCTTTTTAACTTATAATCTTTCATCATAAAAGGAAAATTTCAAGATATCAACAGAGGCCTTTTACTACGTTTCTTGGAGATAAAAAAAATAGGGCACCCTAAGTAACAATCAATGATTACTTTCTTGATTATTTCTTTAATTGAAATAGAGACAACAGAGCAGCATAGTTTCTAAACAAAGATTTTCTAACAAGAAATCTGTAGACATTATATTCTCCTTCCTTATTGTGATATGTAAGTAATGTTCTGAGAAAGAAGCACATAGATCTTAGTGATAGACATTTGCCCAAGACACATATGATCACAACTTGCTAATTCCATGTTTCCCACAAGAAGGAAAAATTGTTCTTTTTTTTGTCTTCAGGGTATTCAGGGACTATGGAGTATATGTATATGTAAGACTCTACAAAATGGTTTTGTTACTGGGCAAAGGGTCTAAAAACTGTCATCCGATCAGAACCTCTCACACCATCTCTGGATCTGGCCACGAACCATGCTTCTGCTGCTGAAGTTGGGGGCCAGGGTCGGGTGGGTGAAAGTCAGCTGCCCATAAGCTAGACAGAAAGGGCAGTTACTGTTCTTAGCAGCTCCAATGACACAGAGCAAGCCCATACACATTGCTTCCCACAGAAGGCTCCACAAATAAGTCTCTGCCCTCCACTCCCCTCCCAGAAGCCTCTTTGCTCAGGAATCAGGGGTGGAGTTTGGACCATGGCACTGCACAGGCATCATCCCCTCCAGAGTGGGCAGTGTCTGTATATTGGGGGTGGATTTCAGCTCCTCATCCTGAAGGAAAAAACAACCAGGTTTACACCACCTGGAGTCTCCACTGAAGGCCCAGGGGTACAGTGTTCAGCTGCCTCAACAATTTGAAACAGCAGTATTTCTCAAATTTGTAAAATATATTGTGGTAGCTGGCATTTAAGATGATCTCCAATGATCCTTACCTCCTGGCATTCACACCCTTGTGTAGACCCTCCCACAGTCAACCAAGATTGGTCTGTGTGAGCAACAGAATACTACAGAAGTGACAGTGAATTTCTTCCAAGAACTCAACATTGAAGGTAATGCAGCATTTGCACTGGCTTCTTGGGTCTCTAGCTGATGAGAAAGCAAGCCTCCATGGTGTCGGAACAGTAAAGCAGATCTTTGGAGAGACCCACTTGGGAACTTAGAGAGGCCAAAAGGTAACGCCAACCTGCCAGACATGTAACTGAGCTACCTAGGAAGCAGGTTTCACAGCACCTGTCAAACTTTTGGGTAACTACAGCTCCAGATGACCTCTGCCTGCCACTTTATGGAAGAACTTATCAGAACTTAGTTCCCAAATTCCCAACCCACAAAAATAGTGGGAGAGAATAAAAATCCTTGTTTAGGAGTTTTAGAATAATCTGTCATAATCTGTTGTGTAGTAATAGATAACTAACAAATGTGCAATTCCATTTTCAAGGGAAAAATTATTTCTAACAACATACTAATTTTTTTTATTTTACTTAAGTATAAACAGCATAAACTCCTTAGGCTTGTATCTTTTATACAACTATTAAAACAACACAGGTTTTATTTATTTATTTATTTTTAAAGATATATTTTATTTATTTATTTATACAAGCACTGGGTACAGTCAGAGACGCGGGAGGGTGAGAGAATTCACCAGAGCCAGAGCAGGGAGAAGAGCAGGCGGACTGACGGAAGTACACTGCTGAGGGGAGCAGCGGGCGGCAGGAGAGGTCTGTGCGCCATGTGGGACCTTCACCTGGCGGCCGGGGATCGAACCGGTACTCCAAAGGTTGCAGGCAGCTTCGCAACCCAGCGCTCAACCACTGCGCCACCGGGGAGGCCCCCCAACACAGGTTTTAAAATACTGCACAGGCAATATTTTGAAAATCAGATTTAAAAAAAAGTAATTTTAATAGAGTTGTTTTGCTGAAATTAAATTGCCCCTTGAAAATTAAACATAGATGATTTCACTCATATGTGGAATATAAAGAAACAAAGCAAAAGGCCAGACAAAGCTAAACCAAAGAAACCCTAGAAATCTGACTGCAGAAGTGAGACTGCCAGAGGGTGAAGGAGGGTAGGGGACCAATGGAACATGGTGGAAGATATGGGTGCTCTGGTGGTAGATGCGGTGTGATCCTACACTCCTATGCAGTGTTGTAAACCAACATTACCACACGCACACACAGAAAAATAAATAAAATAAAAATAGAACTAACGTATGATCCAGAAATCACACTTTTGGGTATTTGCCCAAAGAATATGAAATCACTAATTTGAAAAGATATATGCACCCTATGTGCATAGCAGCATATTCACAATAGCTAAGATATGGAAACAACCCAAGTGCTGGAAGACAGAAGGATGGATAAAGAAGATGTGGCATGTAGACCAACAGAATACCAATCAGCCATAAAAATATGAAGTCTTGCCACTTGCAACAACATAGATGGGTCTAGAGGAGATTATGCTAACTGAAATAAGTCAGAAGGAGAAGAACAAATACGGCATGATTTCACTCAATCGTGGAACATAAAGGGGAAAAAAGCAATCAAGCAAAGAAAACAACAACAATCTCTTAGACTCTGTCAACAGCATGGTGGTTACCAGTGGGGTGGGGGAGGATGAAAGATGGATAGAGGGGACTGGCAGGTGGTGGGCGTGGTGAGATATATACATTTGCTGAGATAAGAAACTGTACACCCGGAACCTATACAGTGTTGCAAACTAATGTCACGTCAATAAAAAGAAAAATAGGATTAAGGACAGACTCCAAAGGTGGGGGGTGGGGGAATAAATTGCCATGAGACTCCTAAGACTACAGTGCCTGGGACGCATCCTATCGCACTGTTCAGTTACTTGCAAAATTTATTTTAAAGATTTATTTATTTATGCATACAAGAACTGGGGTACAAGACAGAGGTGGGGGTGAGAGGATTCACCAGAGACAGAGTGGGGAACAGATCAAGCGATTGATCTGCGGGGAACAGCGGGCAAGACAGGAGAGGTCTGCTGCGCCAAGTGGGTAGCTCACTGGCCCCGGAGGGAACTCGGGAACTCGTGCTGCAGCAGCTATGGATTGCTTCATAGTGCTGATACTTAACCCCTTGTGCCACCAGGGAGGTCCTACTTGCAAAATTTACCTTTAATGCCTTTAAGCCTGTTGAAGAGCATTTTCTGTGGCTTTCAGTCAAAACTTTTCTCAACACTATAGTTACCTTCTGATTTCACAATTTGCAGAAACTTATGAAACAAAACTAAACTTTAAACCAGCCACTCATTTTCATCCTCTCCACCTTTTAAACATCAGTACCATGACCAGCTCCCCTCTACCCCCAGTGCTTTGTAAGTGCACTTCTGCACTGGGCCATCGGAGGACAGGAGGAGGCACGGGCCGGGGCTGGGTCTGCACGACTGGGGCAGTATTTTACCTGGAAGTCCTTCCCACAGGTAGCTGGGAGAGCGCATTGACCACCCCCTGGGCCTGCAGCTGTAAAAGATTTGAAGCTGGTTCTACTCCCAACTTCACAGCGCCCATTTAAATCTGGGGCACGTGGAATTTTACCCTCGATTGAACCGTAGCTGTGGTGTTTCACAGCTTGATCCCTTGGTGCGATTTTACTCCTCCTGAGTTCCTAGAGGACAGAGCCTGGCAAAGAGCCGGGTACACACTGCACCAGAACTAATAACTTGATGATTCACAGCAGAAGACACTGGCATTCGGTTGCCTCGTCCCGCTCTTCGAGCCAAGGCGACGTCAGCAAGAGTCCATCTCCCACAGAAAGCAGCTTTCTGCATTCGGGAGCTGAGTGACTTAAAACAAACCATTCCTCTAAACACAAGGCAGCGGCAACATTCGCCTCAGCTGTGCTGCGCTCAGGGCTCCGGCCAGCCCCTGCGCGCCCCACCGCCCTGCACTGCCTCCCCTCGACCGCCAGGTGGCAGCAGGTGGCGCGTGTTCTTGCGCATGCTTTATATGGGGCCTCGCCCTCGCTCCGCGACCGCCGAGTGACGGAAGCGAGCGAGCGCGATTATGGGAAATGTGGTTTCTGAGCCTCGGCATCATCAGCGCGCCCCCTGCTTAGGCCCTGAGCGGGACTTCAGCTCCCAGCAGGCCGGCGTGCGCGGGGAGGGCTCGCGAGAGAAGTGGGCGGGGCGAGTGAGAGAAAGGTGGGTGGGGCCGGGGCGGCCAGGCGGCGGGGGCGGGGCTTCGGCCGGCTGAGGCGCCGCCGCCCTCGGTCTGAGGAACCTGGGACTCGGGTCCCGGAGCGGGTGGCGCGCGGACGGCGGCGGGCGCGAGAGCGGGCGCGGGTCTCGGCTCCTCAGGCTCCCCGAGCGCTGGTCCGCTCTCCTCTCCGCCGGGACGCGGGAGAGTCCGGCGCGCGGCGGGGGCGGCCAATGCGAAACTGGCTGGTGCTGCTGTGCCCGTGTGTGCTCGGGGCCGCGCTGCACCTCTGGCTGCGGCTGCGCTCCCCGCCGCCCGCCGGCGCCTCCGGGGGCGGCCCCGCAGGTGAGGACCCGGGCTGGGCGGCCGGGCCGGGCCGAGCCGGGCGCTGCTGCCCCGGGCGCCTTCCTCCGCGAGCCCCTCCGGGAGTCCCGGAGGCGGGCGCGGGCCGAGCGCGGAGGTCCCCGGCCCGAACAAATGGCCCTTTTCATCCGCAGGGCAGTAGAAGCGGGTAAAGTTGAGGGCGCTTTTCTCTTTGTGTGACCCCGCGGCTTACACCTGCCTGCTGGCCCCTTCTGGCCGCCAAGCCGGTGCCCGCAACTCCGAGGGCTGCGGCTGCCCCTCAGGCCTGGCTCGAGGGGTCCCGGGGCTGCTCACGCCCCGGCGCGGCTTGGCAGGTGGCGGTCTGGCTCCCCAAGTTGTTGGCCCTCGTCGGGTGAGGCTTGGAAGCCCTCGTGCCCTGGGTGATGTCTGTGCGTGGTTCTGAAGGGAGCTGATTTGGCTGGGAGCGAATCACTGTGCTTGGAGAAGATACTGTGTGTTGCGTCCTTTGAAAAGTCTGTTGTGGGTCGGCTAAGCAGAGCTAGCCTGGGAATAGGGCAAGGCTGCGAGTGGAGTTGCTCCTGGGAGTGTGGTTTTCAGAGTCTGCGAATGAAGTGGCCAGGAAAATAGCGAGTTCTTTAGCCATCATTATCCATTTGCGCTCAAACTTCCTCTCCGACGGAAATGAAATCTTTGTTCTTGTTCCCTTCACACCCCGGTGGATCGAATGCTTTGCCCTGGAGATTTGTTACTGTCGTTAATGGATTCTGCCACCCTGAACACTGCTGAAGATGTCCCTGTTTTTCTTGTCCTTGTTTTGGTTTTTGTTTTTTTAAGAGCTTGCCCTAGGACATATAAAGAAACCTAGAAGGCTGTTTTAAAGATAAGGTAATAGTCATTTTGTTTTTAACCACATTGGGAACTTCTTTCTTACCACTCCTCCCCAAAACAACTTTCCTTATACAAAGGTTTTAAAAATTTGAATTGAGTATTTGCAATCCAGAGAAAGCTCTGTGCTTTAACTTGGATGTATAGAAATGTAATTGCACACTCCTCAAAGCAACCTCATTGTTATAATTAGGGTTCTTTATTCTGGTAGCAACCTCTTAAAGTCTTTTCCTATTTGACAAACCACAAGTTCTTGAGAAAGCCTATTTCTGTGACCTGACTAGAAATGAAGTACTAAAATGATATCATGAAAATACAGTGTTACCATACATTTAACCTGTTAGCAGGTTGGGATTTTTGTTAGGTTTTTGTAAACTGAGCAGAAGAAAGAGTGCCATACATATATAATATACTTTTTAACATCTGTTGTGTTTTATAAATTTCTTTATTTTGATACTGAGTGAGCTCTACTGGAATTTACTTGCAAGACAGCCTTAGGATCCTTTATGACCTTATCAGTCTTTGGGGTTCAATCAACAAGCTAAAACCCTGCCTTCAAGCCTTTAGGCTTACCCAACAATTTTAGTTTGAGATACATTTTTTCCTATTGTAACAGAGTGGTCCCCAGGGAAAGGGGAGTGAAGTTCAGTTGGTTTGGGGGTCCATAGGTGCCCCTTACCCTGCCTGGTAAGACTATTTCCTTAGTGTTTGGCTAATGTCTAGCCAGACTAGACCAGGCTAGATTAAGGAAGTATGCCATGGAAAGGGATAAGGCTATAGGTGAGGAGACCATTATTCTTCCCTTGAATTAACATTTTAAGAGTATTATTCTCCTTCAGTTTCTTTCTTTTTTTTTTTTTAAAGATTTATTTATTTATTTATATAAGCACTGGGTATAGTCAGAAGCGCGGGAGGGTGAGAGAATTCACCAGAGCCAGAGCGGGGAGCAGAGCAGGCAGAAGGACCGAAGTACACTGCTGAGGGGAGCAGCGGGCGGCAGGAGAGGTCTGCACGCCATGTGGGACCCTCCTCCGGTGGCCGGGGAGCAGCCGGGGATCGAACCGGTGCTGCAGAGGCTGCGGGCAGCTTCGCAACCCAGCGCTCAACCGCTGCGCCACCGGGGAGGCCCTCTCCTTCAGTTTCAATTAAGTCATGGGAGCATTTTTTGAAAGGGAGTTTTACCTTCCCTAAATATTGAAAAAAGGCCCTCTGACTGATGATTCAGCAGATCTTTGAGAACCTACTTTATGTCAACTTCTGTTGTAATAATCAAGATAAATTCCCTGTCCTCAGGCAGTTGACAATTTATAAGAAGGGGAGGCAGAACATAGGAAATTATTATTAAATATCATGGGGGATAGTGTTAAGTGCAGTAACAAAAATAAAGCTGTTTAAGAGGCTAGAGAATGTTGTGCTGCTGTTTAAATAGAGAGGTCAAGACAGGTGATTAGGGACTTGAAGAAAGTGAGACAAGCTACTAAGGGCACTATTCTAATGTGGGGGAGGGTGTGTCATTTCAAGTAAAATAGTCCGGGACAGCAACTGGCAAAGCAGGTCTGGTGAAATCCAGCATGCCTGGAGGTTACAAGGAAAATGGAAGCAGAAAAAAACCATTGCACTAGAGTGTACAGATAAGATACCTTAATTATAACATTGTCTTTGGGTAATCTCTTAGCAGTGATTATTTAACAGTTAATTTAGGAAAATAATGTGACAAAAGAAGGCTTTTCTTTCTAGGATGTTGGGAAAGAAGCATATCCCAACAACTGCTTGACAATGTTAGTTGTTGTGCTAGATACTTAGTCCCTGCTCCCAAGGAGTGCCGTCTGTTCAGTGGAAACACATGGGCAAATGGAAGGCCAAAGACAAATTGAGCTTGCTTTGCAATTTTGCCTGGGGCTAGTTCTTCCAGAATTATCCCTATATGCTAATCTTTTCTTTGTGCTTTAGTTTCCTTATTTGAAAAGTGATGATCTCATAGTTATTGTGAAGATTCAGTTAATTTAACACCCGGGAGCATGCCTGATTCATAGTAAATACTCCTTGAATTTTAGAATAGTATAGTGGTGTTTATGCCACTGTGGTGTTTTGGGAGGTAGCCTAAACTGGTGGGGGTGCACTGCTAGTGGATATGCTGCTTGTCCATATTAGTCATCTATGATGAGCTGGAATGTTTTTCAAGATTCTACCTATTTGTGATTAGTGTCTTCTGAGATCGTGCACATGAGCATGGAAATTTTGGTCCGATCTTTAAATATCCTTGGACTTATTTTGAGCTGTCGATTTTGAAGTCAAGCTCCCTTAGTCTTTAATGAACTTCTGGATGGCTACTCTAGTGCAGAGGCTAGCAGAGCTACGGGATTATATTACTTTTTAAGGCAGAGAAATAGTTGTTACCCTCAGGGAGCTTGTGTGGGTGTGGAGGAAGCAGGACAGGCACAGGGTGGGCGTGAGATCACTTTTCAGGCAGACTAGTAAAGGAATCTTAGAGTCTCCCGTGGAATTATAAGCCTTTAATGCTGAACAAGGGAAACCAGCGGGCAGGGAGACAGCATTGATGCTGCCCTTTTATCCTCTCCCTTCAAGGCCCAAGGGTGCACGCTTACACATGCATAATCAGGGCAGGCGTGCAAGACCGCAGGTCATAGAGGTAATGACAGGAGGGTGTAAAAAAAAAAAAACAAAACCTTATTTTTATCTCATTTACCCTACAATAGGGCTTTAATTAATTCTGACATGAAGATTTGTTTATTATTAATATCTCTGCTATCTAGAACAATGAACGTAAATGATGCTCAGTAACTATTTGAAGGACTGAATTAAGAGAAAAAAATTGGAAAAGAATGGATGAATTTGTCTCCAATAGATTGTTCACATTCCATGATGACTTAATATTTTAATTTTCTTATGAAAATAAAGTAAGTTCTTTATAGAGAATTTTGAAATTTAAAAACATAGGAAAAAACAATGGTCTGTATTAGATAGGTTTTGAATGCATGTACATGTTTGGGGGCAATTATTGAGTTATATGAAAAATGATTGATGTGTAGTATACATTCAGAAAACATGTAAATGTGCAATCATACATTTTCACCAAGGAACACACACAATAATCAGCAGCCAACTTAAAAAAAAAACTACCAAGACCCCAGAAATCCCCCTTCATGTTCTCTTCCTTCACTGCTAAGTGTGGTGACTTGTTGTTTTTGGAGTCTGTGGGTGTGGAGTGCGGGGTCCTTGGGTTCACTCTGGGAAAGGTTTCACCAGAGCTCCCGTTTCAGCGACACACGGCCAGTTTCCCCGGCGAGTTTCTCCACAAGACAGAGACGGTAGTTATATTTAAAGGGCAGGTTTATTAGGGAAGGGATGAAACAGTTAAAGACACTTGCACAGACACAGCAGGCAGGAAGAGCTGCCCCAGAAGGGACAGGTTTGTCAAGAGAGACCTGCATGGTTGTAGGCGGACAGCCTTGACACAGGTCACGGGCAGGCAGGAAGCTGCTGCCCTGCAGAGGCAGAGAGTTGGTGAAAAGAGGCACCTGCATAGTCACAGGTGGGCAGTGGGAGTGCTGCCCCGAGCCTGTGCAGAGACTGCACTGATATAGTCTTCTTCTGTTATAGTCTCACTCCTTGTGAGCCCTCAGTTGGTTGCTAATTGTTTTGTTTTTTTTTTAGATTTATTTATTTATGCATACAAGAGCTGGGGTACAGGCCAGAGATGCTGGGTGGGGGGAGGGGGAAGGAGGGGCGGTGAGAGGCTTCACCAGAGACGGAACAGAACAGGCAGATTGACTGAAGTATACTGCTGAGGGGAGCTGCAGGCGAGATGAGAGGTCTACTGCGCTATGTGGGTTGCTCCCTGGCCGGCCAGGGATCAATCTCGTGTTGCAGAGGCTGCGGACAGCTTCATAGTGCGGTGCTTAACCCCCTGCATCACCTGGGAGGCCCCTGGTTGCTAATTTTGGATAACTGTAGAATTTGAAAGAGATCAGAGATTCTACAATGGGCTCAGTCTCCATAACTTTACCTTTGGGGTCATCTCCATATCCTTAGACTGAGCCTAAGGATACTAGTGTCACCTAAGGATATTAGTGTCGATGGTTATGCTAATCTCTTCTGCCCCCACCTCCTTGTAT